CAAACCTGTGAAATTAGGAAGCTTGAAAACATGCATACAAGTAAGTATCTTCTAAATGGCATCAAAAGGCTATTCATAAGATTTTGCAACTGTGTTCCTCACCAAGTACTCAGTGATAGAACCTTTGGAACAAAGATTTGTGTTGTGTTTAATAAACTAGATGCTACCCTACAAGCTGATAATACCAGAGCCTTTATGTTCGCCTGCTTAATTTTGATCTGAAAAGAATTTATATCAAAGACATCATCTTAGTCCTGTCCAGGAAAGAGTCAAGTGAAGTATGCATAAATTCAAAATGTGGAGTCAGAGGAAAAAAAGAAGGCATTCTGAGGTAATGAGGAGGCCACAGAAGGGGCTGACTCTCCTGGATACTAGTAAGAGGCAGTAGTGATGCAGTGGGATTGTAGGACTGTCTCAGGGGTTCTGATCAGAATGTCACATGATGATGTGTATGGTCTTGGACAATAGAGGGCACTGCAGACCAGTCAAGAGGAGTCAGGAGAGAACCAGAATTGTAATGAGCCACCTGGCCCTGCCTGATGCTCTTTTGTTAGCCCTCACAGCTGTGAACTCCCACACCCCTAAACCAACCCAACTCCACTCCTGCATACCCTCTTGTCATCTTTATGTAAAGGAGTCTAAACCAGGACCCAGGGTGCAGTCAGAAAACAGGGAGCAATCTAATTTGCATAAATTGTCCCTCCCCTTCTCAGAGTATGAAGAGGGCAAGGGGGAGATTTGAGGGAAACCTCTGCTCAGCATCAGGAAGAGAAGTTAGAGCTCAGGATGACTTTCACAATGGCCTGGTCCTGCCTCCTCTTCACATTCCTTGTTCAGTGCACAGGTGACATGATATGGAGGAAGGATTCAGTGTGGGAGTTCTGAATCTACTCTTGTTTCTAGAAAAAAACTTATGTTCTCTGTGTTTCTCTCACTTCCAGGGTCCTGGGCCCAATCTGTGCTGACTCAGCAGCCCTCAATGTCTGGGACTCCAGGAGCGACAGTCACCATCTCCTGCATTGGAAGCAGCACAAATATTGGGAATGGCAATAGTGTGCAGTGGTACCAGCAGCTCCCAGAAACGGCCCCCAAACTCTTGATCTATGGTAGTAGTAATCGACCCTCAGGGGTCCCCGATCGCTTCTCTGGCTCCAGATCTGGCAACTCTGGTTCACTGACCATCACTAGGCTACAGCCTGAGGATGAGGCTGACTATTACTGTCAGTCTTATGACAGTAGCCTCAGTTCTCACACAGTGCTCCAGGCTCATGGGGAAGTAAGACAAAAACCCCTTTACCATCTGTCAGGAGGGCAAACACCCAGCAGCTTTGCTCAGGCCTGCACTCTGGCTTTTTCTGCTACCACTACTACAAGCCCAGCTGAATGTCCTGGCACTTCTTTGAGTGAGGAACTTCTTCTCCTCTTTTCTCATAGTCATTCACAGCAGCATGTTCCTAGGAAAATATCTTCTAAAACACATAAATTCCTGCTTCCCATTAATTTGAGGAGCTGAACAGGATGTTGTAGTCTCTTTGCCTTGAAGTTCAGGTGATGAGGCAGTCAGTGCAATCCTAGTCATCTCAGACTTGGTCTCTGGTGGTAATCCTGTGCTTCCACCTTCCATTTTTTTCCATTTCCAGGAATTCTAGAACTGTGTCTTCTCCTTTGCCCTCATTATGTATATCTGTGATTCATGTTTTAGCCTAATTTTATATAAGTTTCCTAACATTCAGCATTTGACAGACAATAAAACAAATATAAATGGAAACTTTGAGAGATTTTGATATATTTTCACACCTTTGGGAATATCAACACACGCAGGACAAGGAATCTGTCCACCAGCATACAAAGCTCCCTTTGGCCTTTTGGAATCCTCCCTCCATCTCTGCTCAAAGAAACATCCAGGCAACCATTGACTTTTTTTTTTAATATTGGTCAGGTTCTTTTAATATAACTTTTACATCTGGAAACTCACAGCAGATATGCATTTTTGAATGATTTCTTTCAGTCTATAAATTTCTTTTGGGACCCTTCCACATTGTGTTGAATTTTTCTTGATTCTACTAAGGGTACAGAATGACCTTTGTTGTCCCTAAATATTTCAATGTGGATGAACTCTTTGATTCCTTTTGTATCAAAATTATATTTTATAATTCCATCAGTAAAGAGAGCCATATAATCCACCATTTATTAGGTTCATTGTGTTATTAACATCCTGGTCTAAAATCTTTCCTTCAAAAATTGATGGAGTACAATTAGAAACCCCTTTCCTTTGATATCTTCTCACTCTTCACTAGGCTCAACATCTCCTCAATGTGCCTGTGGATATGCCTAGCCAGGCCCTTCATCTTCTCACTTAGAAGAGTGACTGTCCTAATTTAGGGCTTGTGGTAGGACTAAGATAAAAGTCAAGAGAGCTGGCATGCAAAACTCCTAGGTAGTTACCTGGAATCAGAATTGCACTGGGAGAATGAGGCTTCTGTCCTGTATGCTGAGGTAAGAGACATTGGAGCATGTCTGTTATATTACCACAATCTCTGCAAAGACCTCTCTCTCTATCTGCAGCACATTTCATGGAGCCCATCTGGTGACATGAATACTCCTAAGAAAATTGTGGAATCTCCATATGTTGATAACAGTAAATAACATATCAGGGAGGTTCATGACAGGGACAGTTGTTGAAGGTTCATATATCCACGTGTGTCAAGGACTATGGCACCCATGAGAAAGTATTCAAAGCCATTTGAATGCACATTCTTCATGTGGAGAGTACAAAATTTTCTGAATTTCAGTGAGGTAAATAAGAAATGAGTGCCTTTCACATTTATACTCATCTCAGATGAGACTCTCAGTGTTTATAAAATATGTCTGGGAAAAATCTCCATTTCCAAGGAGATGCACCAGGACATCTCTTACACTCATCTCACATGAGATTCTTAGTGTTTATAAAATGTATCTGGGAAAAATCTCCATTTCCAAGGAGATGCACCAGGACATCTAAGGGGGGTGGAAAAGATGGCAATATTTGGACCTCAGAAACTTCCATTAGATTCCTTCAGGGATAAAATGTTCATTTGGATAGTTTTAGCTAAGAGGAAAAAAGTTTAAAAAATCCAGGAGTTCTGAGGGCCACCCTATTTGCTATGTTGTTGTGCACTCTCTCACTTTAAAATCAACGGAGGGGAATTCAAGGGGCATAAATGTGAGCCCAGATTGTCCCTTACATATTTGGGGCACAATAATCAGATGTTTGAACAATCAAAAAAGAAAAAGGTTGATTACCATGAGGTGGCCAGAGTGAGAGAGGAACAGGCTGCATGCAGAGCTTGCTCCATAAAACAAACAGCTGGAAAAAAAGGTCAAGTGAGTGTATTCTCACCCCTGGACATAGGGTGAGTATTGGGGAGTACAATTATCCAGAAAAAACTTCATTACTTCCCATGAGAACCACCAGAAGGTCCTTGTGTGAACCCAACAGTAAGTCTATTTGTTTGAGTAAGATGCTCTGGATGATCTAGTGTTTAGTATGTAGCTCTCTCACTGCCATGGCCCAAGTTGAATTTATGGTCAGGGAAGACTTTCTTTTGCCATCTGTGGGGGTAAATGCATGTAGTCCCAGATAGTCAGGAGGCTGAACCAGTGGGAATAACAAGTTAAAGACAAGTTTTAACAAATGAGGAACGATAATCCCTAAAACAAAACAATACAAAACAACAATAAAAATGTTACAGAGAAGCTATTTATCCTAATATTCAATTGGAATACTGAAGTTGTTTCTGACCATTAAATGCTAGAAACATTGCTTTGGTGAGCATAAAAAGTGTCCAAGAATTGATTGGACATGAGGATTTGCATCAGACTTGTACACATGTGGTGTCATGGTTTCCAAGTTTCTAGGTCCTTTCAAGTGCCAGACATAATTCTCTGCCTCCCTGAAGAGTGCCTTTTCTGAGGACTGTTTGGCTCAATAAAGTAGAAAGAGGAGGCCTGTGTTGCATCTGGACAATAGCATGATAAGTTGAAGAGCTACTACTCTCCTTCTCCCATGCATGTTTCCTTCTGCAGGCTGACAAGAATTATCCCAGTGAGTGATCCCATATTGAATTAGTGAAAAAATGAAACGAACACATGAAAAATCACCATTAATCCCATGTGGTAGAAAAGGTATGTGAGCAAGAATTGTGCCATGTTATTTCACATCAAGAGTTGCAATTGTGTTGATCCAGAATGACAAAGACTGTCTGGTCTGATAACACAGTAAAGTTGCTAAGTCTATGCACCTCAATGCTAATTGAGAATGTGTCTTCAGTGGTTATCTGATTCAGTATAAAATTCTACTTGCCCATAGCAGGATGATCATCAAGTGTGATTTTAGGAGAGGTAGATGCAAGTACAAGTGTAAACTTCTCACGCTTATCATCAGTGTGTGAAACAGTGTCCTAAGTAATATGAGTCTCTTCTCAAACTGTCACCCACATTAGCCTGTGAACAGTTGCTCAGTGGACCATGCACAGGAGCATTATTTACAATTAAACATAGATTCATTGGCAGGGTAGATTATATATTAGGCCTCAAAACAAGTCTTCAGAAATAGAAGAGGAGGGAGTTCTAATATTATTCTAAGAGGGTAGTTGTTCTCTCCTGGTAAAACCATGGCCAATGATATCTCTCCTAGAAATAATGTGTGCTATCTTGCATACATTGTTGTGAAACAAGAAAATCCTAAAAGCTGACTGTGGTGGTGCACATCTTTAATTCTAACAGCTTATAAGGCTGAGGCAGAAGGATCACAAATTCAAAGCCAGCCTCAGCAACCTAGCAAGGATCTAAGAAACTTAGCAAAACATTCTCTCTGAAAAAAATGATTGGGGCTGGAAACATAGCTCAGACTTAAAGCCCCTCTGGGTTCAATCCTTGATACCAATAAAACTAAACAGTAAAAAAAAGGAATGCCCATGTGAGATTTTTTATTTATTTATTTATTTTTGAGTAGTGAAGTCATGTAGAGTTGGTTGAACATCTGCCTAACCAACCTTATTTCCAATGAACTATTTATAAAACAATCATACTGAAAACAAAATGAAAAGAAAATTAAACCCTCTAACTTGGAGGATTTCCTCTTTTGTTAACCCTGTAGAATAAGTTACAAAAATAATTTTTTATTCAATTCTTCTCTACATTCAGTGAGAAGCTCAAACTCAACAACCTTATAAGCAAGTTATACATGAAAAAAAAATCCTTTACCTCCTTCAAAACACACATCAGTGAGTTACCATGTTTGTTTATTTTTCTCTTGGTAACTTCCACTTATGAAAGAAAAAAACTGGATCCTTGAAGGCAGAAATATTGAATAAAGAAAGAAGATCTAGTTAGGAATAAAATGAGGGAATGTCAGGTCCTGTGAAAGGACACTGAACCAATGATGCTATGTGCTTGTAACAATATATCACAGTGAATCCCAATTTTATTAATAATTTTAATGTAAAAAGTTAAGAAAAAGAGAAATTAAACATATAAGTAGAGAAAGATTATTAGAGGAGGGTGTAAGTGAGGAAAGCAAAATACTGGTGAATTAATTTGATGATGAAATTATGTTTCCTTATGTAAGACAATATGTACCATGAATCCCTCTATTATCATACAATTATAGTAAATTAATGAGGTTTTATAAAAAATAAACACAAGTATGTTAATGGTAAAAAATTAAGGCAAGTATAAGAACATGCAACACTAAAATTGAGTTGCAAAAAACTGGGAATGATTTCAACAAACAAAGAAACAAAAACAGATAAATAGATATACATAGGAACGCTCAAAGAAAATTCAAGTAATGAATGTGAGAGCATCCTGAAAATATGTCCAGAACATCATACAAATAATTCAACAGTTCTTTATGAAATGATACCTTATAGCTTTAGGCCAAAGTCCTCCAGTGGGCAGTGTGGATATTTTAGAAAACTAGTAGAAACTCAAGTGGTTCAGCTTATTGGATCATGAACAGTTGTTCAGTGGACCATGCACAGTGCTAGACAAGCTACTTCCTCCCATGGGGAAAATCACCGCACACAGCCACCCTGGGTCTTACTCTAAAAATCTAAGTGGTCTGAGGACCAGGACCATGTTTTGGAAGTTCCATGGTAAAGGGCTCATATTTATATAATTCACCACACAAATATGCCCCCTTCATTTATGCATTTTAGTAAGAAATCAGGGGTAATTGGGAAACATGACCTAAACTTTAGTGCCAGTGGATCCTTTCAAAATGCATATCATACCCTGGACTTATCTCTGTCTCCTCCTCACTCAGTGTACAGATTCCAGTTACTGAAGTGACCCTGTATTGTCCTTCCTCATTATACACATGTTTTGTTTGTGTTTCATGGTCCACTTTTAGATTGTGGGACTCAGGAACCCTCACTGAACACTTGCTCAGGAGCGACAGTCACTTTCTTCTGTGGCTCTAGAACAGTTTTGGTCACCAATGATCACTTCTCATACTGTTCACAGCAGACA